GCACGCACGCACGCACGCACACACAGACACACACACACACACATATATATATATACATGTACATATATACATGTATATGTATATACATATATATACATACATACATACATACATACATACATACATACATACTGCGTGCACACACGCACACACACACACGCACACACACACACACAAAACAAACACAAACAGACAGATAGACAGACAGACACACACACACACACGCGCGCGCGCGTCAACACCGTCAGTTTGCCATAGATGGAACATGCAGTGGTTGATGTGCATTGTCATGAAAAATTAAAAAACATATTGTATTAAATTATGTTGTACTTGCAGCAATTTGGCTCATTGGCTGCTTCGGCCAAACATGTCAGAATCAGAACACACACACACGACGAACGACAAAGACGCATGCAACGCACGACGAACAGAATCAAAAGCACAGGGCAGAATGCACAGACACACAGACACACACACACACACACAGAGACACACACACACACACGACGAACTGACAACTAGCAGCGCAGCAAGCAAAAAAAACTGGTCAGAAGTCTGTTAGAAGGTCGCGTTTTGCGCCGCCATGGCGCCGTGTGTGCTGGCCCTGGACTCTGGCGGTGTGTTGTCCGACAGGTCGTCTGAGAAATATGACGGCAAGGAAATATACAAGCAGACGCAGTGGGGAGCATACGCGACAGTCACACTGTTTATGGGAATCTACGGTGCCGACAACCTCCACGTGATTTCCAGGGTGAACACCCCAAACCCAAACCATTGGGTGATCCGGCACGCCGAGTCGTTGGGCATCCCCTTCGAGCAGGTGCATTTGGTACGAGACCGTGCCCACAAGCAGGGTGTGTCTGCTAAAATATCCGCTACACACATCATAGATGACAATTCGGATGCCCTCTACGCTCTGGGGCTCGGGTGCTGGTGCTCTTTGGAGAGGGCGGTGTTGTTTAGTTCCAAGAGCTACAAGGCACAAGGCCGCTGGGACGACTGGCTGCGCGGAAAAATGGTTTGCATGTCCAAGTGGACAGACGTCGCACGACTGCTGGGTCTTCCCATGTATGCGACCGTCTGGAAGTATCTGGACCAAAACGGCCCTCCCAGGAAGCCCCACAGTGAACGCACAGTGCTAGCCGTCAGGGACTTGCTTCAGCAGGCCCAGCACGGCCCAGCAAAGACGCCTGCTAGCCTGGCTGCTCCGGCCAAAGAAAAAAAAGATGAGGCTGCTGAAGCTGTTTCGGCTTCAAAGGTCCCAGGCGACGAAGGGAAGTCTGCTGCTTCGGCTGCTTCGGCCGAGGTAGCAAAGGACAACGATGATAAGCAGGCTTCAGCGGCCGCAGCACAAGCTCCAAGCAACGACGATATCTTCTCGCCCTCGTCAGCGCCAGATTATTCACCTATGACCCCGCCACCAGGGCTTCACGACAAGGCCACAGTAGAGAAAAAGAGCACGGCTGTTTCGGCCGTAGAGAAGTCATCGGCACCGGCTGCTCCGGCCGAGAAAGAAAACAATAATGAGGCACCGCCAAAGGTGGAGACTCTTCCGGCGGACTCGGAAGCTGCTCTGGCAGCGCCAGCTGCTGAGGCTCCTGCAGCAGAAGCGGCCTCTCCGGCAGCGCCTTCAACTGCTGATGCTCCTGCGGCTGCTTCGGCCGACGAGACAGCTCCAAAACCGGCGACGAAAGAGGCGGTCGTCGTCGAACTTGACTCAACTGAGTGGCCTGCCTTGCCCAGCGCCAAAGCTCCGGAGGCCAAAACTGTGGCGAAAAAAAAGCCTGCTGCTGCCAAAGGCTCTGTTGCTCGCGAGCAGGCTAAGGCTCCTAAGGCTAAGGAAAAAGCAAGCGCAGCAGAATCGTCTTACGAATACTATTCGTACTCGTCGTCGTCAAGTGGCAGCAGCTCTCAGGACGACATGGTGGTTTTGGTGCCGCGACGCAAGAAAAAAGGAGAGCCAGGCGAGAACAAGGGCAAGCGAGCTTCTTCGCAGCCGCTCCCCGGCTCGGCTCAGAAGACTAAGAAGAAATCGGCTGCTTCGGCCGCAGAACGTTCGGCTGCTTCGGCCGCAGGTTCGGCTGTTTCGGCCGATCGGCGAAGCCAAAAACGGCGGCTGGTCCTGACGCCAAACCCAAACGTGGCGAAGGAAGCTGCAGCTGGACAAAAAACTGCGGAAAAAAGCCGAAAGCAGTCGGAGGAAGCCCGTGCCAGAAACAAGGCAGCGGCCGAAGCACCGGTTTCGAGGGCGGAGTTTCAAGAGGCTTTCAAGGACATGAAAAATTTTGTCCAAGAACAGGTGGCCACAGCCACAGCCTCAGCCGCCGCCTCAGCTTCCGCGTCCAGCGGCCAGTGGCATCAGCAGAGCCAAGCCAAAAGCTGGCAGGGCCGCGGTGCTAACAGTCAATGGATGCGCAAGAAGCAAGAAAGAGCGGAGCGGCACCAGCAGGAAGCTGGCAAAGCCCGGCCGGAGCGTGTCTTGGCCACGGTGATGTGCGCTAAGTGCGCGAAGCATCAGCCAGGTGCCTTCTGCAAGCTTCAGCTTTGCAGGAACTGCTGCCAGGCGCGCAGCTTCAAGCAGTGGCGCGAAGCGCCCTGCGAACAGCACCAGTGGTGAGAGAGAAAAAAGAGGGAAGTTTTCGCCTGGGTTTCGAAGGTAGGGTTTACTTAAACTTAGGGTTTAAGAGGGCAGCAAAGCGAACGAGATAAACAATAATTTAAAATTATTGTTTATCTCGTTCCCTTTGCTGCCCTCTTAGTCTTTAGGACAGCTTGGGATTCAGGGTGTTAGGCATTAAAGGGCTCAGGGTTTAGGGTTTAGGGGTTCGGGGTTTGGGGTTAAAGGGGTTAGGTTTTAGGGTTTAGGGGTTAGGCATTGCAAGGTTTATAGGTCTTAGGGGCTAACCCCTGATACTAAGCCCTAAACCCTGCAAACCTTAACCCTAAACCCTAAACCCTATAAAACCTAGCCCCTGAAACCCTAAAACCGTTGAACAGGACTTCGAGTCTTCGCCTCCACTATTATAAAACCCTCAAACCCTGAAAACCTTACCCACCTTAATCCCTTTTGTAATTTTGTCTCAAACGCAGCACAGTCTGGCTCAAGTGACAGCCCCGGCAGTGGCTGACTGACACGTTCAACGGCTGCATTCGGCCATCGATTGGCTGTTTCGGCCATGCCTCCTAAGAAGGCCCAAGGCAAACAGAAAGCGAAGGCCAAGGCTGCTTCGGCCCAGCCTGGTGACAACGACTTCATGATTGACAACGGTGAGGGAAGTGAATGCAATGAACAGCTTTTGCGCATTCACGAAGCATTGAAGACAATCAGAGATCACGATGTCTTCAAAGATATCGACAATGCAAAGCCTCTGACAGTGAGTCAGGGAGCGTCGCAGACGCCGTACGACAGAGCGCAAGCGCAAGCTGCCCTCGGCAACAACAGTTGCTACACTTGCGGCGCCAACTTTTTCTGGGCTGACCAGATATGGTTGCCGAACCACCGTGTCACGAACAATTCAGGGCAAATTCTGGCGCTGCAGGCACGGTTCTTACCTCCACTGGAGCCTCCAGCTACCTTCCCCTTCACTGTCACCGTGGCTGTGGACTCGGCCAACGACGAGGTGTTGGAAGGTAAAGGCTTCCAACGACTGAGCCCTGCCGAGCCCTGTCATGCGATGCTCTACAGCATTCAGGAGGCAATCACTGGCAAGGCCGACGCAGCGGTTTTGCAGGCCTGGAGGAAGCTCCTGTTGACTACGCCTTTCCGCTTCGAGCTGGTCGCAATGGGAGAACCCAGGTACTGGAAGGCTGCGAACCTCCGCGAGGACATTGTCGAGAAGGGTGTCATGGTCACGATGTCGGCACGCCAACGCATTTATGACGTCGTGGGCTTCAAGAAGGCGAAAGAAAAAGCTCTGGGTGCCTCGCTCACGTCGCAGCAGGTTGCAGATGCCTACACCGCTCGCTTGAAGCTGTCCTCCCAAGCAGAGAGAATCACGAAGTCCTTCGTCGACGCAGCAGTGCAGGTTCACGACAAAGTCTTCAAGTCTGAAAGGAGTCGCATCATGCTGGCCTGGTGCGACAGGCACTTCTTGTCAAAGAACCCATGGGACTCAGTCTACCTGATGCAGGATCTGGCGGTGAGAGCACAGTCCCCGGACCTCATCGCGGAATGCTTGCACGGCCTAGTCGATGGGTTCAGGATGGGGTTCTTGAAGAAGGGCACCTTTGTCAGCAGCGTTTTGCGAGACCCACGCCAAAGCCACTTGCCCAAAAGTTTTAGCAACTTCTCGTAGGTTTTCAGTCTTATGTCATGCTCTCAAAATGCTGATAATGTTTCCAGTCTGCTGAAATAATATGCACTGTTATAAACGAAATAACATATAAAACTGTCAGGTTACATCGAAGTCTTGAAGTTGAAGGTGAAGCTCAGAGACGCACTCCTCACTGATTGGCTGGATTCGACTTCTATGCCGCAGAGCTGGAAGCAGAAGCTGCGTGAGGCTTTCAGCTCCTTCGATGCCGTTCGTGAGAGGTACTCGTCATACCCAGACGAGGAGCAGGCTGCTTCGGCCTGGGTGTTGGGGGCCCCCGAGTCTGTCAGTCTGGCAGCGGACTTGCTGGATCAGCTGATCTACAAGGACAACTTCGATGGTCGGTTCAAGGACGCCGTGAAAACGCACCATGAGACAGCTGACTTCTTGGACTACCCCAGTGTCAAGTCCAAGATTGCAGAGGTCGAAGACGCGCTTCGGAAAGAGAGCAAGCCGACTGTGGCTGATCCGGCCACGGCCACAGACGGCGGCAGCACCTCCGCGGCAGCGTCTACGGCTGCAACGCAGCCGAGCAAGGCGTCCACAGACAGTCCTGCAAATGCCACAGGCTTCCAAAAGCTGTCGTCTTCTGAACAGGACGAATGGCGGGCATTCATGCTGAAGCAGCTGCGGGCGACTTTGCGGTTTATCCCAGACAGCGGAAGTGCAAATCAACTGGAGCAGAGCCTGAAAGACAACCCCTACGCGGTTTTGCAAGGAGACCCCTTGGGGACAGTGCTCTTGCACTTCGATGTGAAGAAAAGTGGGGAAGCTGCTACCCGGCCCGACCTTCGGAAAACACCGCTTCGAGAGGCTCCCTACTGCCGCGCGGTGCGTGCTGTTTTGGAAGCTCGCGGCAAAAGTCCTGGACAGCCCGGAACCCTGAACTCTGCAGAGATTGCCGTTGTTCTGGACGGCGGTCGGCCCGGCAATCGCAAGAAGCTTCTGCAGCCTTGGAAGGTGGGGACAAGATTGGAGATGGACGCTAAGAAAAAGGACGCAGACAACGAGAATGAAGATGAAGATGACGAAGCGGCTGCTCCGGCCGAAGACGACGAGGACGATGACCAGAAGCCAGGACTGGTGATCGAACCCCTGATGATCGGGGTACAACGAAAAAAGCCTTGCGACCAGACGCACGAAATGCCGGGGAACAGCTACGCTGAAACAACTGGAGACGTGCTACGTCATGTCCGCCAGCCGCCTCAACTTGCCATCGCGAGAACGGAAGCATTACGAGGGCACCACCAACGGCGACTCGCTGTTTGGGGTGGTAGCTCCAACACTTGCAGACGAGTGGCATCTCCCCTGGCAGGAGAAAAAACAATTGTACGGCAAGAAAAACATCCACCAGGTGGGAGGAAAGACAGAGGGGGCAAATGAGAAGCTGTACTCCGACCGAACTGCAAACGAAAAGGAGCCGGTCGCGTTCTGGTCCATGCCAGAAGCTTTCTACGAAGAGTTGCTTCACAACTTTTACTGCAAGCTAGTGATAGATCTGAGTCCCCTTGACGGGAGATTCGCTTGGGTTTGTTTGAAGCAGCGGGTCGGATACGTGGGGCTGTGTTTCAATAACGACCACGTGTCTCACCTGGAAGAAAGGCTCCTGAGTCTGATGCAAGCGGCAATGACAGATTCGTCCAGTCCTCTGTTCAACAACTCGTACGCGGAGAAGGTGGGCGCAACGCCAACAGCCAAAGCCGTCACAAAACCGACGCCGAAGGCAGAAGAGAAGAAAAAGACGAAGCCAAAACCCAAGACGAAGAGCAAGGCGACCGTGAACGGCGACAACCCAGATGAGGAGAAGGACAACAACCCTGCGCCTCTGAAGAAGCCTCGCAAATCCAAGGATGAAAATGAAGAAGTTGTCAACCTCATGGAGGACCCTGAGGAAGAGGATGAGGCTGAGGCAGGAGATGATGTTTGGGATCCTCTCAGCTAAGGCGTAGTCAGAAGAAGCTACAATTTTGGCGCTGGTATGGCTGCTACGGCCAAGCCAAAGCCTCGCTTCGGTAGCTGCTTCGGCTAAACACGGCTGCTTCGGCCAAGACTTCGCCTGGGATGGCTGCTTCGGCCAAACTCCGACAGGTTTTTAAGCCTTTGCTGCACTGCTGTCTGGATTCGCTTTGCCGCCTGCAGAGAAAAAATAATGCACGGTCGCTCTCATCTTGAAAGTTTCGGACGCTGCAGTAATATCATTGTTTGGTCTTGTCTTAAGCCAGCTGTATGTGCATGAACCTGACTGAAGCACCGGTCTAAAAAGCTTGAGACACTGAACTGTCGTAGCAAACAAGTCAATTCTCTCGCCATGGCATCCATCGACACCGACACTGCAGCGCAAATAGAAGAGCTCAGACAGCTACTACGGGAAGATCGTGCCAAAATGCACTTCGTGGTCGCTATGATCCTCGACGCCAAGTACTGTCTGTCATGTGCTATGAACTTCGTGGGTGAGTTCCTGACTCCAGAAGAATACACCAAAACTTTTCAAACTTGCAAGGACTGCAGATGCGATTGCAAAGACGAAGGCCATCAGCAGATGTCTTAGACCAGTGCTAAAGAATTCATAATCCGTACTCCGGATCCAGATGTGATCGCCCAGCTGCTCTGAGGCTGCTTCGGCCTACTGCTGTGGATTGAGTGCGCTATGTGATGCTGCATCTCTAATTAATTAATTATGATCCTCGTCGACAGGGGGTTGCATTCTCGTCGACGGCACAAAAAGTTATTTCCTGCTTTCAGAAACGAAAATATCTTATGCAGATAAAACACGTCTGATTGCTTCGGGCATGGACGGGTTGACGGGCTCAGCTTATACAAGATCTGTGCATTAGTGGGGTTTAGGAATGAGTATAAAGGCTCAAAAATTAGTTGTGTTCGGTGTACCCAATGGCATGCCTGCGAAGTATAGGCCTCAAAAATCCTTCTGTGTAGGTTAATGGCTTAATGTGTATGGAGTGTTGTGAAGCCCTTACCTGTTGAACATACCACACAGGGTCGAGGCTAAATGGGCTTGCGTTGAAATGTGTAAATGTCGCAATAAAATGGGTGCTTCTTTAACAAAGGACAAAAGTTATTTTAAATGCTCGTCGAACCATCAAAAAGTTATTTGCAATGCTCGTCCGACGACCAATCTCGAGTGAAACTTCTCAAAACTTGACATGTCTTGCAAAAAACACAAAAAAAACTACTAAACTACGGCTAAGCAAATCTGAGGTGAGCACATTCACGCGCAGGCAGGCTTGCAGAACAACAGCATGAAGCCATGAAGCATCTTACTTCTGAATTACAAGACCTCCCACAGCGGGATTCAGCTGCCCTAACCGGTGGATCCTGGTCGTATCTGGT